CGTGCCTTTTGATCGTTTGTTTGTTTCGTTTAGCAAATCTGTGCGTGATGAATGTGTGCGGACAGCTGGGGTTGTTACCACCCTCATGCAGGTGGGAGGGAGAGGATATGAGAGAGAGGAGAGGGAGAGGGAGGGTGAGACAGAGAGAGGGGGTGGAGGGAGGGAGAGAAAGAGAGAGGGGAGGGGGGAGAGAGGAGGGAGGGAGAGAAAGAGAGAGGGGAGGGGAGGATAGAGGAGGGAAAGAGGAGGGAGAGAGGAGGGAGAGAGAGATAGGGGGAGGGGGGAGAGAGAAGAGAGAGAGAGAGAGGAGGGAGGGAGAGAGAGTGTGTGTGAAAGCAAATGAAAGAAGGGTTGGGACACAATGACTTGTCAGCGTTTGGATGAATTGATGGTTGTAGACAGAGAAATAATGGGATTTGTCTGTGGGAGATTGCTAGTGTATGCGTGTGCATGCGTATGTGTGTGGGGGGGAGGAGAGGGGGAGGTGGGGAGAGGCAGGGGGGGGGGAGACAGACAGACAGACAGAGAAGGGGGGGGAGAAAGAGAGAGAGAGAGATAGGGTCAGTCTTCTTGTATATATTTATTAAGAGGATATATATGTGAGTAAACATAATATGGCAATAAAAGACATTTCACACTTTAAAAAGTATCTATCTCCAAACACTATAACTTCTTTTCTCACACACGGCCGGCCACGATTTGGTGGAAAATGGGCTTGGCCAATATGCAGAGGGCCACGGTTCGATTTCAGAACGGACACAATTCTTTTCCCGATCTTCAAAACTTCTTCAGGTTTCTAGCTCCCTAATCCTCTTGACATTATGTACCAAGAGGGAACAAGTGCTCTAAATTATGTCTAGTATGCAGCAAAAGTTACACCATTGAAATAAAGATTGTGACCCAAGAGAACTAAGGAAGATTCAAGTGGGTGAAGTCACTCTTATTGACTCTTAAGTTTAAGTACAAGTAGAAGTACAAGAACCATTAAAGTCCAACAGTAGGAGGGTGTGGAAGGAGAGACTTGAGAGGGTAGAGGGGTGTTGGAGTGTGAACTGGGCTGAGTCGTACATGGAGGAAGAAGGGAGACGAATTGACTGTCACGGTCTCTCATTTCTAAGAACGAGTGTACACTTCAAATGGAGAAAATGAGAGAGATTCGAATTTAAGTAGGTCCACTTCTTTTGTTTCCTCGCTGGTTGTGATTTTTTTTTTTTTTTTT